TTGACATTTTACTAACAAATGGGCCCTTTACCAAGACAGCTTCAGTCTGACAACTAAGACAATTGAGGAAAAACAAATGCCCAATTGTCCTATTCTATTTCCACTTTCACACATCATGCTTTTCAATTTCCGTTACACTGGAGACAATATTACCAGATAAGACAGACAAACAGATATACATGTGAAAAGGGTGATAAAGAGCTCTACTAGCCTACTGCAAACAACCATAAAAGAACCCTTTCCAAGAAAAGTAAAGCTCCACCAATTTCTGTATTATCTTCAAACACAACACTCAATATCCTATTCAGTTTACTCAGGCATGAAGGCAGAGGCAGTACATTTTCCACAGAGAGGACCATCGATTAGACAGAGGAGGGTGATTAATGGTTTCTTGTTGCAGAGATTAAACTAATGCAATGTGTGCTTTTTACACTTCACTGACTAGACTGCTGGGTCCAGGCTCAAGGGCGTATGGCACTCTCAACTCTTTCCAGGACATGCCGGGGCCCTGCCTGCCTATAGCTTTGCCGATATCTGTGTTGATAGGTAATAGATTAAGAGCAGTGAATCATCTTAGAAACAGGAAGCGCTCAAACGTTTGTGTGAGTTTCTAATTTAGCAGTGATTCCATGTCAGCCACAGCTTGTTACAAAAAACATGACTGATAGCGATATTTAACTGAAAATACTAGGGAAATGTTTACTCAGAATTTTTCTTCCACACTTGCCCCTGCTAACATCTCAGTAAATGAGCTAGTAGATCATTTTAATTCAAAAATTCAAAATGTTATAGATGCCATTGCTCCAACTAAGGTAAAGGAAGTGTCTGGCAAGAAAATATCTCCATGGAGAAAGGCCATGAGCGTGAAAACAGAAAAAGAGAATGTCGAAAAGCTGAACGCAGGTGGCGAAAAACAAATCTCCAGGTTCACTTTGAAATCTATAAGAGAGACTTGGCCTTTATAATTTGGAATTGAAAAACGCACAACAATCGTTCTTCTCTGACATCATTACCAAAAACAAAAACAACGCACGTGCCTTGTTCGCTACCGTCGACAGACTAACTAACCCCCAGTGTCAGTAGCCTCTGAATTTCTATCTAATGATTTTGCCTCCTTTTTCACTGACAAAATTCAGAAAATCAGACAAGCAGTCAGTGCCTCTGCATCAGGAACAGCAAATGTGTTGTCTCTGTGTCCACTTAACATCAATTCAAACACCATGACACAATTCCATCAGATTAATGATAAAAACCTAGAGGACATTATACAACTTCTGAAATCCTCCTCATGCTGCCTTGATATTATTCCAACAGGATTTTTCAAAGATGTTTTGCCTTGCATGGCCTCAGATCTACTTCATATAGTAAACAAATCTCTTCACTCAGGTATTTTTCCACAGGCCCTAAAAACTGCAGTCATTAAACCGCTCTTAAAAAGAATAATCTAGACGCTTCAGTAATGAACAATTACAGGCCCATATCAAACCTCCCATTTCTAGGTGAAATCATTGAAAAAGTTGTTTTTCAACAGTTGAGTAATTTCTTGCATTTAAATAACTGTTTCGATGTGTTCCAGTCAGGCTTTCGTCCAAACCACAGCACTGAGACTGCTCTTGTAAAGGTCTTTAATGACATCCACTTAAACACAGACAGTGGCAGAACTTCAGTGTTAGTATTATTAGATCTCAGTGCTGCGTTTGACACTGTTGACCACAGCATATTACTAGACCGACTGGAAAACTGGGTGGGACTTTCGGAAACAGTTCTAAATTGGTTTGAATCCTACTTAAAGGACAGAAACAACTTTGTTTCTATAGGTAAATACACATCTGAGTTGACAAATATGACATGTGGGGTTCCTCAAGGCTCCATCTTGGGGCCTCTTCTCTTTAACATTTACATGCTACCACTGGCTCAGATAATGAAAAACAACAAAATAAGTTACCATAGCTATGCAGATGACACACAAAAATTTACGTAACAATTTCACCAGGAGACTATGCTCCAATTCAAACACTGAGTAAGTGCATTGAACAAATCAATGACTGGATGTGTCAGAACTTTCTCCAATTAAACAAAGATAAAACTGAGGTAATGGTTTTTGGAGCCAAGGCAGAATGTATAAAAGTTAGCGCTGAGCTTCATGTGCAATGTTCAAAACAACAGATAAAGCCAGAAATCTAGGTGTAGTCATGGACTCTGACCTGAGTTTCAACAGTCACATTAAAACAGTTACTAAATCAGCCTACTATCACCTAAAGAATATATCTAGGATTAAAAGACTAATGTCACAGCAGGATTTGGAAAACTTGTCCATGCTTTTATCTTCAGTAGACTCGACTACTGCAATGGTGTCTTTGCAGGTCTCACTAAAAAATCTATTAGGAAGCTGCAGCTGATTCAGAACGCCGCTGCTCGAGTCCTCACTAACACTAAGAAAGTGGATCACATCACTCCTGTTCTGAAGTCTTTACACTGGCTTCCTGTGTGTCAAAGAATAGATTTCAAAAATACTGCTGCTGGTTATAAAGCTTTGAATGGTTTAGGCCCAAAATACATTTCTGACTTCCTGCTAAATTATGAACCATCCAGATCTCTCAGGTCTTCAGGGACTGGTCAGCTTTCTGTCCCCAGAGTCAGAACTAAACATGGAGAAGCAGCGTTCAGTTATTATGCTCCAAATATCTGGAACAAACTCCCAGAAACCTGCAGGTCCGCTGCAACTCTGACTACTTTAAATCCAGGCTGAAGACTTTTCTTTTTGTCGCTGATTTTAATTGAACTATTCATATCTTAGACTGCACTGTAACTTTTATCCATGTACTTTTTCTTTTAATGTTTATTTTATTAGCTTTTCTTTTTAATGACTGATTTTAAATGCCATTTTCTTAATGTCTTTCATTTTTTGTAAAGCACTTTGAATTGCCTTGTGTTGAAAAGTGCTATATAAATAAACTTGCCTTGCCTTGCCTTGCCTTGCCTTGCCTTGCCTAGATAAAAAGATAAAGTGTGTAACTAGGAGACACTTAAATATCAATATTGTTATAACTGATACTGTAACTCCAGCAACTTGTGTTATTGCTTCTACTATGACAACTATAGCAGCATCACTTGTACTGCGACTGTTTATATGAGGCTGCTTGGATCAAGTTAGGCACTATTTTATACATGCCGTGTGCGTTTTATTTTGGACAGTTCCTACAAACAAAGCATTGGGGGGATGTTAGGTCAGTCCAGTCTGGAATACAGGCCAAAACATCACTCTATACTGCTGTGAATAAATATGTAAAATCTTGTTATTTTGCAGCTTGATGGGTGGATACTTTTTGCTGTACAACGTTAAAGTGATGTGGTAAACCAAAAGGAAAGATACATGTACACCATAGAAGAAGCTGGTTAGTATGTGCATCTCTCTGTGAAAACAGTGTGTGTGTGTGTGTGTGTGTGTGTGTGTGTGTGTGTGTGTGTGTGGTGTGTGTGTGTGTGTGTTGTGTGTGTGTGTGTGTGTGTGTGTGTGTGTGTGTGTGTGTGTGTGTGGTGTGTGTGTGGTGGTTGTGGTTGTGTGTGTGTTGTGTGTGTGTGTGTGTGTGTGTGTGTGTGTGGCAGATGGTGAATGGGCCTGCTAGGGATTCTACAGGGTGGCATGAAGAGAAAGACCGCACATCCTAATTACTAAAGACACACACACACACGCACGCACGCACACACACCACACGCACGCACGCACACACGCACACACAACACACACACACACACACCCACACACACCCACACACACCACCACACACACACACACACACACCACACACACACACACAAGCATGCCATCTTCTTTAATCTTCAAGGTAAATCATTTAATTCATCGCACTACAGCTTATAAGCATGACGTTTATGTTGAACATTACATCAACGGTTTTAAAAGTACAAACCAAAAATGCGAGTGTGTTTATGTGCTATTCAATTAACTGTGTCATCACATTGTTCTCAGGGCCATGTGCAGATGTTGTACAGCAAATGTATGCCAGTCAGTCGTGTTCCTATTGGCTGACGGAGCAGAGGGGGAGGAGATGCAGACCCCGCTCACCTCAGTCTGATGTGATGATGTCATCTGTTCTATAACCATCTCTATTTTACAGAGGTAACATTTCTGCTTCTGCATTTACATTTCTTTCTTAGATTTAACTCCTTTTCTGTTGTATTTGCCAGCAGAAATAGTGTAAATCTGTTCATTTCAAGCACGGAAATGAACAGAAAATGTCCACAATGAGCCATCATTACGAGGTCGAGCTGTAACTTTAGGTGGCTTTGAATGTATTGATCCTGGGATGTCAACCTCATCTATGTGTGTACTGTACATTCTCTGGTAAAGCCGTATGTTAGGGATAATTAATCAAAGGGATTAAAGCTGCACCACCATCGTCACATCCCTGATGTCTGTCTGAAATGGGAATTACTCAAACACACAATCATTCATCTTAATTGACCTCAAAACACATCAAATTAAGATGCCTTGAATACTATTTCAATGCTGTGTATGTTTGTACACCTGCCTGATTGATCTGATTTGTATTTCTGTCCAACATCATTTGCGTGTGTCTGTATTTGATAATGTGCGCATACGCTTCTGTGTGTAATCTCTTACCTTCTGCAGCAGTTTAGCTCCAGAGTATCTCGTGGACAGAGCAGCTATCTCTTTGCTGAAGGACACAGCCCACTTTTGCACCCTGGACAGAGAAGACATGATCAGGGACAGATGAACAAAACTGTTATCAATCTATGACAACAATGCAATAACCCAACATGTATGTCACATTAATAAATGCAACCCTTTTGCAGAAATAGAGCGGCAACACAATCAGCATTTTTTCACATCATGGCAACCCAAATGTGGTCTTATCAGTAACTAAATTATCTGTTATTGGTAATACATTGTTAAAGGGTTGCTTTGAAAACTGACATTCTGGCAATTAAACGTGTTAGTTAAAGAAGAGCTATATGGCCTTTTCCTATAATACCTATATTTAGCTAAAAAGCTACACACATCTAATAAACTGAAGAAATGCACCCTGATGTAAATGCAACAACTGCTCCATTTAACAATATTGCGTTGTGTTACTTTTAACATCTGTGGAGCAAATATTGTTTGAACATGTCTTAGTAAACTAGAATTCCTGACATCTTTAAATTGATTAATTTAGTTGATGAAAATTAAGGGTCAATAGGACAGTCTTTATTAAAGCTGACCCTTGACTTAGGAAGCCAATCATGTTAAAAGGTGACCCTGCATTCAACAATAACAGATTAAAACAGATTATTGTTCAGGTGACAGTAAAAGCTGTCAGTCAAGAGGTCACTCTGCGCTCTATAATATGCAGTACAACTACAAATCCTTTATGTCTGCCAAGCAGGAAAGGTAGCAGAGGTTAGAGTAGGCAGGATGTGACAGATGGCTCAACCAATGGGGAGCCAAATATGAGAATGTGGTCTTGGTAACATAGAGGTGCTAGGAATGACTGTTGTATTATTTAGTCCAAACCACAGCACTGAGACTGCTCTTGTAAAGGTCTTCAATTACATCCACTTAAACACAGACAGTGGCAGAACTTCAGTGTTAGTATTATTATCTCAGTGCTGCGTTTGACACTGTTGACCACAACATATTACTAGACCGACTGGAAAACTGGGTGGGACTTTCGGAAACAGTTCTAAATTGGTTTGAATCCTACTTAAAGGACAGAAAAACGTTGTTTCTACAGTATAGATGAATACACATCTGAGTTGACAAATATGACATGTGGGGTTCCTCAAGGCTCCATCTTGGGGCCTCTTCTCTTTAACATCTACATGCTACCACTGGCTCAGATAATGAAAAACAACAAAATAAGTTACCATAGCTATGGGGATGACACACACATTTACATTACCATTTCACCAGGAGACTATTCTCCAGTTAAAACACTGAGTAAGTGCATTGAACAAATCAATGACTGGATGTGTCAGAACTTTCTCCAATTATACAAAGACAAAACTGAGGTAATGGTTTTTGGAGCCAAGTCAGAACGTATAAAAGTTAGCGCTGAGCTTCAGCCTGCAATGTTCAAAACAACAGATAAAGCCAGAAATCTAGGTGTAGTCATGGACTCTGACCTGAGTTTCAACAGTCACATTAAAACAATTACTAAATCAGCCTACTATCACCTAAAGAACATATCTAGGATTAAAAGACTAATGTCACAGCAGGATTTGGAAAAACTTGTCCATGCTTTTATCTTCAGTAGACTCGACTACTGCAATGGTGTCTTCACAGGTCTCACTAAAAAATCTATTAGAAAGCTGCAGCTAATTTAGAACGCCGCTGCTCGAGTCCTCACTAACACTAAGAAGTGGATCACATCACTCCTGTTCTGAAGTCTTTACATTGGCTTCCTGTGTGTCAAAGAATAGATTTCAAAAATACTGCTGCTGGTTTATAAAGCTTTGAATGGTTTAGGCCCAAAATACATTTCTGACCTCCTGCTAAATTATGAACCATCCAGATCTCTCAGGTCTTCAGGGACTGGTCAGCTTTCTGTCCCCAGAGTCAGAACTAAACATGGTAAAGCAGCGTTCAGTTATTATGCTCCAAATATCTGGAACAAACTCCCAGAAACCTGCAGGTCCGCTGCAACTCTTACTACTTTTAAATCCAGGCTGAAAACTTATCTTTTTGTCGCTGCTTTTAATTGAAACTGAGCCGTTGTGTTCATCAGTAAAGTGGAACTTCTGTGTGAACTATTCATATCTTAAACTGCACTGTAACTTTGTATTCATGTGCTTATTATTCATGTATTTTTTCTTTTATTGTTTCTTTTATTATCTGTTACTGTTTTTAAATGCCTTTGTCTGAATGTCTTTCATTTTTGTAAAGCACCTTGAATTGCCTTGTGTTGAAAGGGGCTATATAAATAAACTTGCCTTGCCTTGCCTATAAATACATTTCATATTTTATGTTAATAGATAGCAAACACTCAATTGAAATTAGTGAGATCGCTGAGTTAAGGGATTGTCGGAGTTTAGCTGAACTATAGTAAAGTTGGATATAAATGCAAATGTAAAGAAGGGAAAGACATGACAGGATGAACCTACTGTAATGCTGTCTCTGAGGTGCAGTGATATATTTAATTAAGAAGAACCACCTGCTGCCTGTTCAACCTTTTTGTATTATTATTTTTGTTGGAATTTGTAACATAAATAGCAATAACACAAACTGCCAGGTCTGAAGTTCTTCTTGTCTCCTCACTCGATGAGTTAAGGGAGTATCAAGTACACTTTTGACTGATAAATATAGGTATTTATTAATTTGAGATGGTCAAATAGCTTTTTTAAATGTTTTTTGCACTCTCATTGTAGTGCCTCTTAAACTGCATGCTGTTAAATAACATACCATGTGCTACAATGCCACTGTACCAGCAAAGTGAGGTCAGATTAGACAGGACATAAAGGCCCTGTCACACTGTCCCGAAATTGACACCCGATGGACACACGAATATGGAATTGTGAATTTCGCACGAAGATGGCCCCGAACCACACACAAAGGCAACATTTACATTACATTTAAGACATACAACTGCAATGAAAGTACCAAAAACAATTATGTTAAAGTACTATGATACTGTACTGATATCTTCAGACTTTGTTCTTTACTTTATCCGTCGTTATATGTAGAAAATATTACGTTTTCTCCGTAATGTTGTTTCCATAACAACAACAACTTCCTGTCAACTGTCCTTCAAAATAATATATTATATCCTTTTTAGTTTCACAGAACACAAATTGGGTAATTTACATAATATATTTACATGATTTTGTTGTGCAATAAAACAACCCGATGGACACACGATAAAGGAAATGTTCAAATTCGGCTGTGATCGTAGCAACATCGGGCCATTCGTGAGGGCATCTTAAGCCTTCGTATGATCGCTGGTGGAGTTTCTCAGGCTCCGGCAGCAACTTCGTGAGCGGTGGCAAAATCTTTGGCATGCCAAAAAATTGCCGAAGGACCTTGCGAAGGTTCATTTTCGTGTTGAATTCGTGTGTCAATTTTGCCCTTCGTAAGGCCATCGTGAGGGCATCTTGTTATCATCGGTGCCATCGGGCATTCGCCACGATCAGAGTGAGGGCGAATGCACCGATGATAACACGACGATGACACGATTTGACAAGATGCCCTCAAGAGTGCCTTACGAAGTTGCCGCTCACGAAGTTGCTGCCGGAGCCTGAGAAACTCCACCGGCGGTCATACGATGGCTTAGATGCCCTCACGAATGGCCCGATGTTGCTACGATCACAGCCGAATTTGAACATTTCCTTTATCGTGTGTCCATCGGGTGTCAATTTCGGGACAGTGTGACAGGGCCTTTAGGCAGGTCACACTAAGGTCAACTATGGACCAGTTCCTAAGCAGTTGGTACTGTAACTCTATGGTACCGCTAAAGGGCAAAAGGCAGCGAAATTCAACATTTTTAATATAAATATTCACCAATTCACAGCATTCCATCAGGGTGTCAGTTCCTTAATTGATGTTTAAATGTGTGATGTATTTTCCTCCTGGCAGCAGAGCGATGTTCCCTCAGAGGCTAAATATTTGAGTGTGAAAACGTCCTGGTTATAACAAGCTAACTTCCAGAGCCAGCGGGGGCGGTGCTGCCACTTCTTCCCCAGACACAGCAAAGCATTTTGGGCTCAGTGACCTGTGCTGGCCTGCTGAACCCGGATGTCACTGGAGCTTTAATCTCCCATGTAACACCAGAGCCTGCTGTGTGACAGCACACACTCTATGAGTCCCACACAGGTTCACACATTTTATATACTGAGACTGAACCATCCACCATGCTTTAGTTTGTGTTGGATGATTCATCTATATGACTCGATTTAGATTAATCAAACCTCTATTGTATGTGTGTGCACTGAAATACAAACCAAAGAAATTGAACAGCTCTATTAGTGGCAAGAATTCAGAGTATTCTGTGTACCTCACCCCCCACACACACACACACACACACACACACCACACACACACACACACACACACACCACACACACACACACACACACACACACACACACCACACACACACACACACACACACACACACACACACACACACACACACACACACACACACACACACAGTTAATAGGCTATTGTGGACTGACAGCACTGCATTGATCTGTTAGTGTTTTTAGTCAGCAGGAGGTTTGAAAGCTGTTCAGGGAAAAAGCTGTTCAGCTGTTCAGGGAAAGAGAGCTTTGTCTGGTTTCTGGAGATCACACAAACGCAGCGTTTCATTCCAAAAGAGAAGTGAGACAGAAAACTGACCACTGAGGCAATAAGGCATTAGGAGTTACTGCAATTCCCTTGTGTAACAGCCATCTTTGTACCTGGGAAATGTAGAGGGAATATTTCCTGGATAGCAGTGTCCTTTTCTAAAATTAGTTTCTAAAGCTGTATTTACAGACCTCTTATTCCATGATCCTTTTAAAATATATGGTTTGAGAAGTTCATATTACAGTTCATAATTAAAAGGACATAATCCAAATCAAAAGGACTGAATGAAGAATGTGATTTTTTTGGTTCCAATGTTGATATTAAATATGTTTTTCCAATAACACCAAAACACGTATTTTATGCAATATATCAAATGCTGTCCTGCATACTGTAAGCTTTGACTGCACAGTGGATCAGTTGACATGTAAACACGACAGCGTTTACTACCAAGTTAGCAGCTGTGCTAACAATCACAATATTAGCATGCTGGTGTTTAATACGTTTAGGTGGTAAATACTCTATTCTAAACGTCCCAATTTACTTGGCATTAGTCTTCAATAGGACAAACTGGTCCACAAGCAACCAATAAAACAATAAGTATTAAACATAATCATTTTGTGTTTGATTTTATTTAAATGTAGCACATGTCTAATTCACCTTCAGCATACTAACTGTAGAAAGGCTGTGTAGTCATTGATAGTTTGGCAGGTGGCTACACCCCCACCCCACAGGTGCCCATATGGCCCATATGCATCTGTGTGGAGTAATCAGCCAAATACAAGGAACATATTGACTCATCTATATCACGTGAGGCTGTAAAAGGACAGGAGCTGCAAATCTGCCAGGGGCGTCCACGGGGAAAACGACCGCACAATAGCTGATGTAATGTCTAAATAAAGCACTATGTTTGTGGTCCGATAAGACATATTCAGCCGCTGATTGTTAGCACATTGTGTCTCAATCTGTCGACCTGTGAGGATGTAGTCATAGAACATCATGTTATCATCTAATTGGTTGGCTGAAACTTTTTGTTGATGTGTTTATTCTGAAATATAAAAGTGAGTTGGTAATGTAGAGGTGCTAGGAATGACTGTTGTAATAAAAAAAATATATATATTTAGTTTTCTATATTAGCATATTAGCATACTAATATTTGCTATATTAGCAAAACGAAAGCAAAGTTAGTTATTTATGCAAATGTAAAGACGGGAAAGACGTGACAGGATGAACCTACTGTAATGCTGTCTCTGAGGTGCAGTGAACATATTTCATTAAGAAGAACCACTTGGACCTGCTGCCTGTTCAACCTTTTATTGTTATTATGTTTGCTGGAATTTGCAGTGCACATAGCAATACTACAAACTGCCAAGTCTGAAGTTCTTCTTTACGTCTCCTAACGGGATGATTTAAGGAAGTATCAATGACATGTTTTAACTGATGGCTAAGAATGAGTCTTTGAGTCAGTCAAGACACAATTCCTTGGAATGAATGGCACTCAAATATAGATCTATTATTGTAATTAATATATTAGGTAATATGTCCTTATAAATCCTGTGTGATCTTTATGATTTATCCCCCCCCCCCTGATGGCTCCCTCCCTGGGGTTAACCTGTGAGTGTTCTCTAATGTAACTGTACTCACGTTTCCGGTGAGATCTTCATCTGTCCGTCGACCATGCGGCACAGCGAGCTGGAGAGGATAATCCACAGCAGACATCATCAGCCTCCCTCTGCGCGGCCCACTTCCCCAGCTCCAGCGGTTCATCCCTGCAGCAGTTGTTGCACGCTGGCTCCAAAGAGAGAATGATTAAATAAGGAGAGCGCAGAGTGAGTTTAGAAATACTCAGGTCACAGTGCACGAGGATGGAAGTTGTTTGGTCCTGGGTAGGTAATATATAGTGGATTTCTTAGTTTTTTTTTGTTGAAAAAACTAATATGCAAGTAAATCAAAAGAATGAAGTTGTGGGGTGTTAAAGAAAAAGTGTGCTGAAGAACTAACCTTACATTTAGAAACCACAACATTGGGTTTCTTTATGTACCACAAGGACAACAATTGACATCTTACTAATCAAATTATAGGCACAAATAATAGTTGTTGGTTAACTTGCCAGGCAAAACAAGCATTACTAAAATGCAAACATCCAATCCAAAGTTTCCTAAAGACTAGCCAAGGGCATTACATATGACACCCAACAACAGACAAGCATGTCCTCCTTAAAGCTGCCCCAGACTTAGGAATTGTAGTGGATTCTGAGAAGCCACAGTCAGTGAGCGGGAAACTTAAGAGCTGCTCTTCCTGTTAGCCAGAAGATTGAACCAATCCCATTTGCCGTCTGGAAACACAGGATGCTAATTTAAAAGAAAAACAAGCTGCATCCCAAAAGTGGGTTAGAGGAAGATTGACACTTTCTGAATGATAACATACAGAATAACAGTGACGACTCACTATGTCATGTGGTCAAAGCTTTAAAACCATTTCCTTTGAGACATGTGGAAAGTTCAAATACGACTGATGAGCAATAAAAAGAGTCTGATAGAGATTTGATGTCAGCTCAGCTGGACCCCCCGGCACACAGCACAGTCTGGAAAGCTCTTGTCTCCAGTGTCAAAGGTCACTTCTGCGCTCCAAGAGTCACAACGGATTCTCGCCATGCTCCTACACCTCCCTCTCTACACCCCTTAATCCTATTTCTGCTACTCCCATTATTATCTTCTCTCCTCCATGCTCCCCCCTCTACAGGATGCCGGGGAAAAGGGAGAGTGATGGGGGCGTCCCGGTGAGCTTCCCTCGAGTTCAGTTAGCGAGGCATTCCCAAGCACACACACATATAATCCCAAAAGAGTTTTCTTCTGCCGCCCTTTTTTTAATTATTCCATCCTGCTGAGCTCCTGGTGGATCCAAAACCATGCAGCACTGGGACACGCATATGATGATGGTTGAATGATGGATAGAGTGATAGTAGGACTCCCTCTCTCTTCAGTGGATCTCTTCCTGCTGTCCGGGACCAGTTTATACCATAATCCAGGCAGGATTAAACCCCTCCTCCCTCCATCCCTCCTTTTCCTCTCTCCATCCCTAGATCACTCTCTCTCACACACACACAAACACTATCTCTCCCCTTCATATTTTCTCTTTCACTCTTTGACCTACTGTCTTTCCCTCTTGCTGCTTTTCTTTCTAGATGAGTTCCTCTCTGTCCCTGTTAATCTTTCTCATCATCTCACCTGCTCTATTACTCTATGCATTTCTGCTGTGTGTGTTTTACTAAGAAAGCAAATGGATGGAAGGAAATGTGGCAGTGATCTAACATGGGGAAAAAAGTAAAAAATAAAAAACGAGGGGGAAATGAAAGAAGATGAAAGAGAGTAAAAGAGAGGATGTCAGAAAGAAAAGAGGAAAATAAAAAAGAGAGCAAAAGAGGAGGAAAGTGAAAAGACTCCTGCAGGACGGTGTAATGAAGTGTATCTAGGATTGGTGGGAGAAAAATGTTCTTGACTGACACAATGTTGTAATATAATCACACTGAGGACACCTAGTGGACTTTCACTGCCACACATGGACATGTATACTAACACACAGGGTGCTGCAGCATTGATCTAATCCTGTAAACGTGTCCCATATTGCAAATCCAACAATCAATAAATTACTGTAGGTTACAAAATCTCACATTCATCAAGTAATATCTTTCCATTACCCCCTTTTTTAAATGTTCTGTGAATACTTTTTATATTTCCGTCATACAATCTGCCTGTATGACGGTAACCATGTCAGAGGACTGACTCTAAAAATTGCAAAAAAGACTATAACCCAAACTCACACTTTAGGATAAACCGTTAAAAAAAAGGCATTTGGATTGGAATTATTAGGAGATTAGAAGATAATGTAGGTCAGCAGCCCCACTATTGGTAAGACTACAACATCAATAACTTTTTATTCTGGGGTAATAAACAGTCCCCAGTGTGGCTACAGACTACAGACTCATTTGCTCATGTTAACAGCTTTGTATGAATTGTTTCAATAGTAATCCTGTGTTGACTGCTTACTCTAAAACTGCACAACAGAAAACTCAAATTACATTTAAACTTTGTATGAGGTACAGCAGAGACAGGACTACAGCCCAATGCCTGTCTGCTGCTGCATCCATTAAGCTACATTTAACTACGCACCAGAGACACACAGTCAGACATACACACTAACAAACACACACACAAGATACAATGTCAGGTTAATAAAGCTTACGTGCACTGACACAACAAGCTAACATGCCTTTGCATATTATAAGCACACAAAGTAAAACATCTGCTCATGCTGTTCTGAAAATGAAAATGCAGTAACACAATCTGGCACACACACACACACACAACACACACACACACACACACACACACCACACACACACACACACACACACACACACACACACACACACACACACACACACACACACACACTGCAGAGAGAACAGATTAATAGCATGAACTCTTAAGAGACTGAGTGACAGACATGCATGCACACACATGGATATATAGCAGTGTGTAACAGCTGTGGGACTCCTCCCCCCCCCCCCCCCCCCCCACTGACCCAGATCAGTGGTGATAGGGATGATTCCCCAGCCTACCCTCTCCCAACATGAAGAAACTCTTATTTTTTCAATCAGATTAATAAGGAGTTGTATGCCACACTTCCAATGCATTTACAGCAGAAAACCTGGGTTTGAAATGCCGAATTATGGTGGCAGCTTTGTAAAAGTCCTTTGCAATAAACTGAACACTTAAAGGCAGCTTTAAACTCCAGCTAAATTATACAATGTTTATTCAGCAGTGGTCCACCATCCCAGCAAGAACATAATAGTTTAACATAACAAAACAGTTTTGTGGGAAATCTCTCTCAAACCAGACAACATTTTTTACTCTGTACATTGATAACTCAAAATGAGGATATGGAAGAAACCACTTATTTGTTTATTCGATTTTATTGTATTCATTTCGGCCACTGATTTATTTAACCTATTATTCCAGGATTTGTATTTGTACTTTTCCTAAATGTATTTAGTGCATTTCCCCAATTAATACATTTTAAGGTGCACTATTTGGGACCTTTTATCTTACTGTGCTCTCTATTTTATCACATCAATATACATACATGAATACATCGAACTATAATCCTTAAACACCATTAAGCACCACTGTTATGGAGCTATTTCAGGGTCATACGTTTTGATCATTCAACATTTTTATTTGAAAGTTCAAGTTTTTATCCTGAACTTTGAAAAATACTATGATATATTCAAACCAAAAATAAGTATTGAAATCATTTTTCAGGTTGAATATTATTTTTGATTCAGTTCAGCAATTTTTTGGAATAAAATATTTATTTTCATATTTCACTTTCACATTCTACTAGAATGTGAATTCAAATTACGTATCCGCAATCAAGCGTTGTCCTTCCCCATTTCCACGTAGTTCCATGAACGCAGCATAGTATTGGCTTGGTTTTTGCGATCAGAATCAGAATACCTTTATTAGTCCCACAGGGGATACATTTACATTGTTACAGCAGACAAGAGCCAAAGACAGCTTAATGTTACCTAAAGCATGCATACAAAAAGTATTAAAGATTAAAAAAAGAAATTATAATTTTTTTTAAAGTTACACATTTGACATAATACACATCCTGTAACAGTTCTGCGGATTTAGCAGCCAGGTATACCGTTTTTAATGGCATATATATATTGCACATAGTTGGTATTTATCAACTGTATCAAGGTGTTATGTCTGTGTTGTTTTGTGCGGGGTCTACTAGGGGCTGTGCTGGTTCTATAGTCTGACCGCTGCAGGAAGGAAGGACCTGCGGTATCTCTCCGTGAGACAGCGGGGGATGTGCGTCAGGTCCACCAGAACAACCTGCTGGCTCGTTGCGGATACGTCATTTCACATTCTAGCACAGTTTATTGCTCTTATACCTTGATTGTTGCCAACTACGATGTACAACAGCTCGCTTAACGGAACTTTGACGCTGGTATCAGTTTTGTTTACCACCAATCACGGGAGTATTGTGTATAGAAAGTATTGAGTTATATTTCTCGCGCTACCTAACATCCATGAAGGCAACATGACAGGGAGGCCTGTCACTCAGGATGCCAAACTACACTTTGGTAAGCCCCGCCCCCCCCCCCAAGCAACATCAGGGCCAAAAGTTTGAAAGCGAAAACAAAAGATCTGAAAGTGAAAAACGATCTGAAGGTGAAAAGCAATGTGAAACCTGAAAAAACAAGATTTTAAACTGAAAAAATAATTGTTTTGAATCTGAAAACGAAAAATCTGCAACCGAAAAAAATAAAGATTCAAATATCAAAATATGTAGGCCTATAAAGCTGAAATATGAAAATAAATATTTTATTCAAAAAAATTGCTGAACTGAATCAAAAATAATATTTTTTAATGATCAAAACGTATGACCCTGAAATAGCTCCATACACTGTAGTTTAAAACACTAGAGAAACTGAGTCACTCACCAGGCCCTTCAGAGCTTATGGTCCAACGTGTCCGAGAGTAGGAGACTGAAAAAAATGACAAGAGGCTGAACTTAGTGCCCCTCTTTTGTGAATGCACAAAGATTAAAAGCTACTAAAAAGCCATAAACCACCCAAAAGTTCCAAAGCATTATTACTCTATATGACTACGTTTTGTCAGATTCATCAACTTTTAACCTTTAAAAGCGAAACCAGTCAATGCAGATGACATCCTCCATCTGAAGATACGGTAGCAAACAAAGTGGTTCGGACTCCCTACAGTCTGAAGACCCCGCCTTTCTGGGCATGGACACACACACTCTCACACACGCACAAACACACACACACACCAACAGAAGTCATTGATTAGAAGCCAGGCTAATAGTCAGCCCTTACTTTTAGCCCCATCAGCCAAACTAATGCTCTGGAACCTCCTAGTCTCAGAAATTGTGTGTGTGTGTGTTTGTCCTGAATAGACAAGAACATTTACAGATCCAAACAATATTATACATTTTCTATGGAATTGATTCAGTACTCATAAACACTATATTTTAGTGCTTTTTGGTTTTAATTGATCCTGGTTTTGGGTACAGAACAGTATTAATGACCATGTTGGTTGGGGAGAGGAAGCAGGAAGGAAGGGAGAGGCAGCCAAACTCCCCCGCTGCGTTTCATATCAGCTGTAATCGACAATTACAAAGTGTGAAACACTTTAACAAAGCTTGAGAAACATTTACATTTAAAAACAACAAATTCACATTTTATAAAGCAAATTTACATTTTATAAAACAAAATTACATCAGCAAAACACTTTTACCAAAGAAAAAAACTATTTAACATTAACAAAAACAAATGAACAAGATGTGAAACACTTTTACAAAGCAAGAGACAAATTACATTTCCTGAAACACTTACGAGAATCGTACCAGAAGTGACGTGCAAGTGATTGACACAAACTGAAGTTTGTTTTGGCGGATAGACCGCCGGTACCTATGGACCTTTATGGTCGTTAAACATGTTTTGTCCGTTCTGTGAAAACCACCTGGGCCAAGTGACATGGTTTTGCTCATCACAATATACTTTGTCTTGCGCAGAGATACGTTCTCATGCACACGAGAAAGTTACAGGTTCGCCAAGTAGGAAGTGAAGCTGTGCCTTTTACACACAGCCTTCGCTGTGTTTAGCTTCATTAGACAGCTAAAGAGTGACTGCAGGCTGCTTTGTTATACACACACACACACACACACACACACACACACACACACACACACACACACACACACCACACACACACACACACACACACACACACACACACACCACACACACACACCACACACACACACACACACACACCACACACACACCACACACACACACACACACACACCACACACACACACCACACTGCCCGATTATTACACCTTATTATTCTATTTATGAAGGAGATGTCCGGTCACCAGGGTGTGTGTGTGACACACTGGCATTTGTTTTCAGAAGATACACTGAACAAAAATATAAATGCAACACTTTTGTTTTTGCTCCCATTTGAACTCAAAGATCTAAAACATTTTCTATATACAGAAAATAACCATTTCTCTCAAATATTGTTCACAAATCTGAAAACATCTGTGATAGTGAGCACTTCTCCTTTGCCGAGATAATCCATACCACCTCACAGGTGTGGCATATCAAGATGCTGATTAGAGAGCATGATTATTGCACAGGTGTGCCTTAGGCTGGCCACAATAAAAGGCCACTCTGAAACGTGCAGTTTTGCTTTATTGGGGGGGTCCGAAAACCAGTCAGTATCTGGTGTTACCACCATTTGCCCTCACGCAGTGCAACACATCTCCTTCGCATAGAGTTGATCAGGTTGGTTGATTGTGGCCTGTGGAATGTTGGTCCACTCCTCTTCAATGGCTGTGCGAAGTTGCTGGATATTAGCAGGAACTGGAACACGCTGTCGTATACGCCGATCCAGAGCATCCCAAACATGCTCAATGGGTGACATGTCCGGTGAGTATGCTGGCCATGCAAGAACTGGGATGTTTTCAGCCTCCAGGAATTGTGTACAGATCCTTGCAACATGGGGCCATGCATTCTCATGCTGCAACATGAGGTGATGGTCGTGGATGAATGGCACAACAATGGGCCTCAGGATCTCGTCACGGTATCTCTGTGCATTCACAATGCCATCAATAAAATGCACCTGTATTCGTCGTCCATAACATACGCCTGCCCATACCATAACCCCCACCATGGTGCCACTCGATTCACAACATTGACATCAGAAAACCACTCACCCACACGACGCCACACACGCTGTCTGCCATCTGCCCTGAACAGTGAAAACCGGGATTCATCCGTGAAGAGAACACCTCTCCAACGTGCCAGACACCATCGAATGTGAGCATTTGCCCACTCAAGTCGGTGACGACGACGAACCGGAGTCAGGTCGAGACCCCGATGAGGACGACGAGCATGCAGATGAGCTTCCCTGAGACGGTTTTCTGACAGTTTGTGCAGAAATTCTTTGGTTATGCAAACCGATTGTTGCAGCAGCTGTCCGAGTGGCTGGTCTCAGACGATCTTGGAGGTGAACATGCTGGATGTGGAGGTTCTGGGCTGGTGTGGTTACACGTGGTCTGCAGTTGTGAGGCCGGTTGGATGTACTGCCAAATTCTCTGAAACGCCTTTGGAGACGGCTTATGGTAGAGAAATGAACATTCAATTCACGGGCAACAGCTCTGGTGGACATTCCTGCTGTCAGCATGCCAATTGCACACTCCCTCAAAACTTGCGACATCTGTGGCATTGTGCTGTGTGATAAAACTGAACATTTTAGAATGGCCTTTTATTGTGGCCAGCCTAAGGCACACCTGTGCAATAATCATGCTGTCTAATCAGCATCTTGATATGCCACACCTGTGAGGTGGGATGGATTATCTCGGCAAAGGAGAAGTGCTCACTATCACAGCAGCCTTCGATACCATATCCCATTCCATCCTCCTCAGCCGCCTGTCTGACTACCTTGGCCTCAGTGACACAGCTCTTGCCTGGTTCGTGTCCTACCTGTCTAACAGGAAAAACTTTGTCACCATCAGTGACAGTGACTGCAGCTCCCCTCCCGCTCCAGTCAACCAAGGTGTACCTCAAGGCTCTGTGCTTGGACCCCTCCTATTCAATATCTACATGCTCCCACTTGGTCAAATCATCCGCCAACATGGTCTCAGCTTTCACTCTTATGCTGATGACACACAGCTCTATCTCTCCACCAAACCGTCCACTCAGCTCCCCCCTCAATCCCTTGTCAACTGCCTACAGGACATAAAAACTGGATGTCATCAAACCTGCTCAAAATCAACAGCAATAAAACAGAGCTCATGATTGTGGCTCCCAAGACGCAGCTCCAGAAGGTTGGAGACCTGCTTCTCTCCATTGACGGCTGCTCTATCTCCCCGTCCACTGAAGTCCGCAACCTGGGAGTCATCCTGGACACCACCTTCTCTTTCCAGGCGCATGTCAAATCTGTCACCAAATCCGCCTTCTACCACCTAAAAAACATTGCCAGAATCCGGCCTTCTCTCTCTGACTCTGTGGCAGAAACCCTGGTACACGCCTTCATTACATCCCGTCTGGACTATTGCAATGGAGTCCTGTCCGGGGTTCCCAGCAAAACCCTGGATCGGCTCCAATACGTCCAGAACTCTGCCGCCAGGCTTCTCACCCACACCAAGCCATGGCACCATATCACCCCCACCCACCTACATTGGCTGCCGGTCAAGTCCCGGATTCAATACAAAACACTCATCCTCACGTACAAGTCCCTCCATACCCTCGCCCCCCAGTACTTATCGGACCTCCTCCACCCCTTCTCGGAGTCTGCGGTCCTCAGACACGGGCCTGCTCTCCATCCCCCGCTCTCGCCTCCGAACTGTTGGTGACAGGGCATTCAGTGTTGCGGCCCCCACCCTCTGGAATGCACTTCCTGCCGAGATCCGTAATGCTGCCTCCCTGGACATCTTCAAATTATCACTAAAAACACACCTGTTCACCCTGGCCCTAGCCCTTTTCTGGTCCCCTGGCTTCCTTTATTTATTTATTTGGTTTGCCCGTTGATTGTCTGTTTGTTTTGTTTGTCCACCATGTACAGCGACCTTGGGTCCCTTGAAAGGCGCTATATAAATATCATTTATTATTATTATTATTATTATCACAGATTTTTTCAGATTTGTGAACAATATTTGAGAGAAATGGTTATTTTGTGTATATAGAAAATGTTTTAGATCTTTGAGTTCATCTCATGAAAAATGGGAGCAAAAACAAAAGTGTTATAGTGTTATATTTTTGTTCAGTGTATTAAGATGTCGTCCGTTCCGGTACTGCGGTCAACTCAGCCGTCTCTCGCTTGCTTGGTCAAATCAGCGGCTCTTCATTTTTGAGTGCGCAATTAATCGGGCCTTTACGGTAATCGCCGAGAAGCGGCACTTACAATAGTAGTAGTACAAGAGTAAAATAATGCATGTTTTTTCTGCTTTATTTGCGATACAATTATATGGTACAATAATTTGTACCATAAGTTCTTAATAAAACGGACACTGTTTGACTCAGTCCTAGTTTGACAAATACAATGAGGTACTTTTACTGTGTACTTTTTGAGTAATACTCCATCCTGAGTACAATAATTCATGTATTCTGCTATATTTGATGAGGGATACAATTATTTTTTGTAAAAGGTACTACATTACATTGATACTGTTGGACTCAGTCAGTACTAAGTACTACTTGGACTACTAGCACAAGTACAATCAACTACTTTTACTGTGTAGCCTACTTTTTGATTCGGTCAAACTCCCGTCCTGAGTAAAATAATTCCTGTAGCCTATATGCACTATGAATTATTGTAGGCTACTCAGGACAGGAGTTTAACCAAGTATTACTCCAAAATTACAGAGTAAAAATACATGATTGTACTTGTGGTAGTACTGAGTCCAACAGTATCAATTTCATGTAGAACTTATGGGAACAAATATTTGTATCCCTCAACAAATATAGCAGAATACATGAATGATTGTACTCAGGAGGGGAGTTTGACATAGTATTACTCAAAAAGTTCACTGTAAAAGTACTACATTGTATTTGTGGTTGTAGTATAACAAGTAGGCCTACTGAGTCCAACAGTACCAATTGTATTAAGAACTTTTGGCTAAAAATCATTTTTTAAAAAATCATTAAGCCAGATAACTCAAACATATCCAGCGTATGTTGAACTGGATTCGTAGTACAGGGCACAGGTCATTTTGGCAAATGGTTTTCCATGACTTTATTTTCATGACTAATAACTCTGTGACATCTTGGTGTTTCAGCCTTCAGACATGTCATGATAATGGGGAAATTAGTGTATTTATTGTACATGCAATGTGTATTTCAGATTTGACAGCAGTATATTTTTGGCCAGAATATAACAATGTTCAGATGCTGTGACTTCTCCGTGTTTTTTTAATGTCCTGTAGAGATAAACTGTATGTATGCATGTCAAGGGGAAAACAGTGATTGACAGGTCATTATCCCCATTGTCCAGAGAGTCTATTAGTCTATGAGTCATTACAGGAGAACAGCTGATGTCTTTATCTAAGCATCCATTTCTATTTATCAGTCAATAATGCTTTCAATGAAACAGGCAGTTATGCTGGGTGTTGCACTGGGAATAAAACCCAGGAGGTGCGTAGTGGCAAGCACTGAGAATCAATGGAAAAGTGTTGATGTGCTTGCATTTTATTGGAAAATTGCACTTTTCCTAGAGCAATTTAAGCTTAAAAGCTGAAGTTTAAGTAAATTACAAAGGTTCCAGCGCACAATCCATTAAGTGGCTGCTTCATCTGCTAAAAAAGATCATTTCATTTGATCAAAAACTCCGGAGTAGAGACTGAATGGACCTATTTAGTCGTGGCACACAAGTCAACCCCCCTGTTCTGTCAAATTAACAGCATTGTGTCAGCAAATCTGCATTATTGGCTTGTACTGTGAACTCAGTTAAGCGCAACAAACCATGCGGCGATATAATATTGGAAGAAACTGAAGTCGTACAGAGTTAATTGGGCAAGGTCCCTCAATACTGCTGGGTGTGTGAAAAAACAGTTGATTAATCACTGTAGACATTATGTCACACTATTGATCGTGGCTTAACAAAGCAATGATGTGACACTCGAGCGATAATGAGCGTTCCTTTACCGTGATTAGTGTTACTTGAGGCCGGATCAATCTGGAATAATAACCATAATAGCAGTCAGCCATGCAGATCCATTGAGACGACAAAAAAAAAAGGCAACAAGAGGCAGTTTAAAACATTTAATATCCAATTGAAATATATTCCAGTTTAGGTAAGAGCGCAACATTCCCGATATAAATAAGTAAAACCTTTATAAAAATGTTTCCTTTGAATTTCCAATGCCTCAGATTTTTTTAATGACATGTTTAACAAAGTAAAATATTTATGACGTCTTTAGAAGAATAAAACAGCATTGACAAATAACTAGATATTTTGTATAAGAATTATTTTTGCCTTTTGTTAGCTGTACATTTACTTGTCATTTTACATGCTGGTTATTTTCACTATTAGAACAATACAAAAACAGGAAAAATATATTTTGTGTCTCTTTGTATGGGCTGCTGTTTTTCTGTCCGCTCTGTGAGCTGCAGTGATGTCTGTACTAAATGATGCTGTGAGAAACCTAGTCTGGCTGGTGGACACTTGGTGTATAACAGCATTGTGGAAGTGCATGTTCTACTATAGTTGCTTTGAACAGGCCTGTGAACTCCAAACAGTTACTATCGGATGCATTTATACATTCTTTGCTGATTATTATTGCTTTAAATCTCCATTTAGCCAATCATTTATTAAACATACCATCAATAGCAAAGTGTATTACTCCTGAAGAGAATTTCTGTAAATTGTTTTGTTTGGCAGACAAAACATTCAGGAACCGTGGTATAAATGAGAAATCCTTTGAAATTACAAACTTGAGGGACAGTAAATGGTGTCAATAGTTTTCTGTGATGATGAAATCCCTTAAATCAAACTGAAATATTATCTAATCTCTAAAACCGTCAAATCATATAAGTGACAATCACTAAGAAAAACACAGGTTCAGATGTGACTAGTTCTCTGTGAGGTAGCGCAGGTTAATAATCTTCCAATCTTTAACATCAAGTTTGAGGGATACCGTCATTAAAATGATTCATTGTCATAATACAAATATTATTATTGTAACTAAAATACAAATGCAGATATGTATCAGATTCCTGAAAAAAGATAAACAAATCTAAATGACAATGTGTCATTTGAATCTTGATAAAAGAATTCGGATAGTAAAATATATTCCTTAAAATTCCTTTAGAAATCAAACTAGTAAGACCTTAACTTAAAAAAAAAAAAAAGTAAATTAAATTCCAACACATTTTTGACAATATTTAGACATACTTACTTTTTCAAATGAACAGAAATGCTAGACATGTTTAACATGTTAAATATTAAAAGTGAAGTCAGGTTGAGATTTCCTTCTGCACTAGTTCTTAGACTAGGGAAGAAGCCACTGATGGAGGAAAGACTACACCATTTAAAAAAAATACAATAAAAATGCAATGTTGCTACACTTAGTTAAACAAATAGTGCAGGGACCTACTTAATGCAAACACATTGGTAAACAGTGAGGCTGCAGCATGTTTTGTCTTGACTGAGTGAACTGGCTACATTTGACAGGCATGTGTAAACTGTATGGCTGTGTCTTATTTACGCCTCCGATTGAGAATGGAATTTTTCTCAGGTTTCTTGATATGGTAACAAACTTGTTTATAATTTTTGATTATTAGCTGCGACTAGAGGAACTAACTGACTGGCTGTACAGTGCAGAAGAGTACAGTGAGTGTGTGTGTGATTGAACTCAAAGGAGGAAGTGGTACATCCATATATGGTGAGAACCTCACTGCTCTGGACAGGGTGTGTGTAGACAGAGGGTGTGAGGAGTCATCAGTACTTGCTGCTGGAGTCATTAGCAAAGCGACTGATGTAGGCTTCATAGATGGAGTCCAGGAATGAGCCGTCACTCTGAAACACATGAGGCAGGGTCATTGAACTGTGCATGTGTGTGCATGTTTATTCGCACAAATACTGGACCATGGACATATGAAGTGCCACTGAGTGTCAGACACTCTTATTGTTTTTACCTGGATTAGATGCAGCATAGTGGCTTGCAGCTGGCTCCTGGACAGCACTCTGCCCTCCTGCTGCAGCGGGGGGGGGGGGTCTGCAGACAGAGGGAGGGGCCAGGCAGTTCTCCTGGGACCCCGCTGACAACCCGCCACTAGACTTTGCCTGAGTGAACATACTGGGAGAGAGGAGCAGGTTGGGGGCCACAGTAGCTAGAATCCGCTGGGGGGAGATGACCTGGAGGAACAGGGACAGCTATTAGAACTCCTGGATAGGAATGTTGTTTTTTGCACCTTAATCAAGTGACAGCTATGAAAAGGGGGGACAGAGGGGATGACATGCGGCAAATGGTCTCAGGCAGGATTCGAACCTGGGTCCTTAGCATGGGGACCAGTTGGTAGAGCTGGCATATTGTTATTTTTTTAGGCCTTCCAGTTTGTCATATATTCATTTTTCTAAGTTTTTTTGTTTATTTTGTATATTTAAATGTGTTGTTAATACCTGTCCTTATTCCTTTTTAATATTTAATCATTTTTTTTCTACATTTTTCTTTTCACAATCATTATCTTTTTTACAACTTATTTGTCTTATGTCATTGATGTTTGCACCACCTAACTCCCCAGCAAATTCCTTGTATGTGTAAACGTACCTGGCAATAAACTCCATTCTAAAAGTACACTTTTTTAGCAAATGGTAAACAATTAAAGGACAACATCTCTCAGTACCTGAAACTGCAGCGCAGCCTTCTGACCCGCAGTGGCTGGGGCCTGGATTTGGCCTACAACGGGGCCTACACCTGGACCTTGAGTGGGCCCCAGGAATCGAGGGGCCAGACCTGGGGAGGGTCGAGGGGGGTCAGGGGAAGCCTGCTCCTGCTGGACCAGCTGCAGCTTCTGCAGGAGCTCATGAGGAGACACCACTCCAGCCATCTGGGAAGACAAACCTTCAGGAGAGAGCAGGAGGACAACCATTAGAAATGATCTAAAAGCTCACACAGATACAACTGGCATATTGGAAGAGACATTTAAATATAGAAATTGCAATAAATAAATACAGAAATGGTCGTTACCAGTGAGAATATGAAAAGAAAGGTCAACTCACATAACTTTGTTGATTAGAGGTATTCAATTAATCCTATGTAACAGTGGATTCATTACAACATATTACAAGAGCATGCAGAAACAGTGTCGTCTGTTAGTATACAGGGAACAATCACTTGGTGGATAATGGAAAATAGATTTGATTTACTTTAATGAGTTTTGGCTCTCTAGCTTCTCTAAAATTGTCAATCTCTAGAGTTAATTTAAAAGTTGACTCAGGCGTGTGTGGCACAAAACAAAAGCTTGAAAGTAACTGTTTATTGTTTTAAAGGAGAATATCATACCTTGTAAAGGATGAAGGACTTGGTCATTGGATACCTGAGATGGCAGCAAGCCTGGTTTGAAGAAAGAAAATATATTTAGCAATAAATGACTAATCATTTTATGATCTTATTAATTATATAACATTTCAATCTTGAATTTACCATGTGGTAGCCTAGTCAGTACATTGTCATACTGCTGACTCACGATATTGGATAAAAGATGTCCCACCTGCTGCCTGTACAGATGGAGCTGCCTGGCTGTAGAACAGCTGCTGGCTTGGTTGTGCTTGAAGGTGGGAACACGACACGGGACCCCCCATCCCTGGCTGAGGGGGGAGATGGGGGCTCTGCTGCAGAGGAGGGAGGGAGAAGGGGAGAGGTTGCTGGGTTTGGAAAAGTCTCTTGATGGGGTCCGCTTGAAGCTGCTGCTGAAGCTGCTGTTGCTGCTGAAGCTGCTGGTGATGAAGGTGCTGCTGTTGGTGAAGATGATGGTACATGTGGTGATGGTGGTGGTCCAGCGGCACCCCGTTGTCACACAGCCTGTTCTCGGGGGATTCGGAGACGGTCTGAAGCACCCCCCCCACCACCCCGACTCCTCTCTGTCCCTGCATCAGTTTCTGGATGGCAGGGCAGTGCTGCTGTTGCTGCTCCTGCTGAGGATGATGTTGCTGCTGCTGCTGCTGCTGCTGAGGATGATGATGGGCGCCGGTAGGATTTGGCAACAATCCCACCACATTTCCCCCATGTTCTCCAATCACAGCCCTGAGCGCTCCATCTGAACACGCAACCATGGCGACGTTCACTCCCTGGTTGGGCACACTTTTGTTCACTGAATCGTCGTATTTCAGCGACCGGGCTACAGGAGGACGGGTGAACTTTCCTGTGGATGGTCTTGTCCCGGGCGAGGCCAGAGGGGAGACTGGCTCAGGTTTAGGTGAGTGTTGCTTCTGAGACCCAAAAAGAGTGGCCAGAGAGAGAGGCTTGGGTGCAGCACTGTCACCGTCCTGGATGAGACCAACAGGGAAGGGTTCAGTGAGCATGAGAGGTAAGAACTGGGAGGGGTACTAACTATGATGTGGCATAAAGTATTATTATTATATGTTTGAATTTTTTGTGCAACCAGTGTTAGTGACAGCTATAAAGGGGAAGGACCGATGGGATTGAAAAGCAGCACATGGTCCTGCACTGGATTCAAACCCAGGACCTCCACTTTGGGACCAAGCCCCAGTACATGGTCAGCTCCACCAAGAGAGCTATACGACGCCCCAAGCATAGAGTATTTTTAACATATTAGGCCAACTACCAAAGTCGTTAAATTACAATAAAATACCTTTATTGAGGACTGGATTTAATAATGTTGATACTGAGTTGTAATCCTGGTATTCATTGTGTGTGTACCATTTGATTTAGACTGTACATCACAGGTGTTATTACAAATGCAGCATTACCACTGCATAGCACAGCACAGCTCTACTCAACTCGATTTTGAGTCTTCCAACAGCAAAAGTTGTGGATATATCCAATCTTTATTCCAGACTCAAGGTCCATATCACATACAAAAAGACAAAACACACATCAATAGTGTACCTGTGATTCTTTTTTTTGTAAAACCTCAGGTTTCCAAGCAACCTGAGCCTCAAAAGAAGGTGGCGTTAAATCACTGCAGACCACTGATTGCTCTGAGCAAATCACCAACACTGCAAAATGATATATCTTGAATGATCACATTTTTAAATAACCAAACCACCATATAAAGCGACTGCAGTTTTAATGTTTTCACTTAAAGGTCACCTATCATGCTATTTTTAGGCAATAGCAGAGGTCTCAGATATATACAAATATATAAAAAACATGTCTATGAAGTGTTTTGCTCAAAATACCAAACAGATCACCCATTGTAGCCATGCCTCATAAAAAAAAATTCAGAGTGAGAGTTAACAGCTCATCTAGTTCCATCTATACTGTAGCTAGTAGCCTAGTTTCACCTACCGGGGTGGCAACTGACACCCTAAAAATAGGCCTTGCCACCCCAGCTGCCACCCCAGTTGGCAGCTTTGTTTTGAAAGAAAAGTTGTGGCTCATCGGACATTTATGAGAGAAAGTCTCTAATGTCAGCATTGAATCAAAACGCACTAAAGCTGTTGATCTTAATACGTTTGTGAGGCGTTTTGCTGAACAAAAATGGTAATCGCCGCATTCAGCTGTAAGAGACATGTCAACTTGATGCTCTGCTCACGGATGAGCATACAAAACTATTAAGATGATGACCTTACGTGTGTAAATATATTGTTTTCTTTGAGGGGGTCTGCCCCCAAAAAACAGTTTTAAGTCCTGAGAAAGTCAAATAAGACGGTGTGTAAAACTTCACTGCCCAGCCAAAAAAAAGTAACCACTTTGATTGAACTAGGCGAGTAGGTAAGGACAATCCACTGGATAATAACTGCAGTATAAAAGAATGCATGACTGAAGTGATGGAGACCATGTTGAAGGCAAACCAAAAGAGGAAATAACAGGTCAAATCAAGCAAATCCCCTCTCAGATTCCACAGCAACCAGAACATAAATACTGGCTGGTGATTTGATTCATCAGCTTTGTGATGGAATAAAAAATGCACAGTGCATTTCCTTAGCTGTGGGTGAGTCCACTGACACCACTGACAATGCTCAGTTGCTGGTGTTTGTGAGTTTTTATGATGAGGCAAAGGGGGAGTTTGTTGAAGATGTGTTGGGCCTGATGAACCTCAGTGGACACACAAGGGGGAATACATTTATAAAGCAATAATGGGAATGCTGAATGAAAGAGGGTGCAGCTGCCTTTATTCATAACTGTGCAGCTCTTACACTGCGACTCTGAGGGGTCAAGCACAGACACAATAACAATGAAAACTGCTGCATACAGAGACTTTTTGTTTTTGCAACCTCGTGTTAAGAATCTTGTTGCAATTGTTTAAACGTTTGAATGACCGTAATAAACGGACCTTTGTCTTATTGAAACATTTATTTTGGACCTTTAAGATTTGTATTTGAGTACCCCTGGTCTAAATGCTGCGGTGATGATGACACACCATATCATGTTCCAAACCACATCAAGGATTATTTCTGAAACAGTATTGAGCTCAAATGCTTCTTTTCTTGCGGGTTTACCACAAGGAGAGTTCCTTTTATTTAGCTCTGAGTGTTAGCGATGCTTGCTAATGTAAACAATAGGGTTGGGTATCGTTAAGGTTTTAACGGTACTACTACTTTTATTAATACCGCTTATCGGTCCGGTCTTTTAACGGTACTCTTATCGGTCCTTTTGGAGAAAAAAACAAGGTAAACTAACTAGACAAATTGTGAACAAAACTAACATTTCTTTTTATTTAAATTAACATCAAAAGAAACAACAATGCTTTAACAAATCCCATGTTTGTATCATAGAGTTAACTCGATGTGTTGCTGCTAGCATACCTGACGTGGAAACGTTACTCGTGGATGGGGCTACAGGGCTACAAGAAAGACAGTGGAACCCGGTGCATTCCTCCGTCTGAATGTGGAGCACTTTTGCTAAATGTTTAGACAAATTGCTCGTGTTACCGCCCTTACATGCTAAACTCTTATTGCACTTTTGGTAACGAGGATTGTCCACATCGACACGGGTAAAGTTTAACCACACCTCAGAGCGCGTTCTCTCCGCCATCTCCTCCGTGTGTGTGTGTTGCTGCATGTAGCAGCTGAGCAGCTGCGTGTGTGTAAACTGCCCCGCCCTCTCGCACACAGAAGGGGGGGAGAGAGATCTCTCGTCTGGATTGGAAAGATCGAAAATACTAAAAATAATCATAGAAGCATTTTGCAGTCTTATTGCATATTAGAAACGGAATTGGCGACACTAAAACTGCAATATAATGTTTGTGTAGCAATAATACATATGATATGACAAACATTTTTTAGATGTCTCCAGTACCGATAAAAAGACTGATAACGTCGGAGCTTAACGGTACCACGGTCTTTAAGAATTCAGCCCCGGGGCCCGTTTAATACCGGGGCTCGGTACCCATCCCTAGTAAACAAAGACAATATTACGTCGGGCATTGTTTCTGATAGCAACGTTTCTGATAGTGCCGTGGGTCCACCATCCGATATTACGTCATATCGGCAGCAAATCTGGATCAGCTCCGTTGTTCCCCCGTTTTTAGAGATTTGCGCACGTAGGAAAAGAGAGAGGGTTTTATTTTCTGACACTTTGTGAGTTCCCTGACACACCGGGGACACATACTTATGTATAAAAGACATCCAAAAGTGCATTTTGCATGATAGGAGACCTTTAAGATGGTGTCATGGCAGTTTCATACAGTGTCACTATTGGCAGTAGAAAACTGAATATATAAAAGCACAATGTGCCAAAGTGAGGCGAGTTGATCATGCATTGGAAATGATAAAAATGGCATCATCAAGAAAAAGAAGATGGACTGAATGCAACCCCGAATAAAACAGGGAGCCGCTGTGGGTGTTTACCTGAATGATGGGTTTAACAGGTATGGGTTTGATCAGGTTGGGGTTTCCATAAATAACATTGCTGCCACCAATCTCCTTTGGCTCTGACGAAGACTGCATGCAGAGAGGATGCAGGGA